AATAAAGGAATCAGGGTCTAGAAAATTACTTTCATAGGTGCATTTTCTGATCTGCTCCCTGATCAAACAGTGAGGAATTGTCAGTTTTGACAAACTTTTTAGGGTGTGCTAAAAAATAATTTCATATTAATTTATAATCCCCAATGTTCACCTCTGTGGCTAAAGTTTGAAGATAAATTAAGGGAAAAGATCATCTGTATGGTTAACAGAAGCCACATGTTGACTGCTGGCTAGGAGACAGATGCAAACATCAGCTGGTCACATGGCTTTGTTGAGTTTTTGCAGTGCTCATTTTCAATCCTATCTCTCGCACCTACAGACTTCAACATTGCATTTTCAGATGCACTGCAGCTCTGTTCTAACGGGCCATGTGTCAAATGAATCGATGTTCACGCGTGTTCATTAGCTGGGAAATGGTAACGAAAGCTTACGGGGGTCCTAACTGGTTGAGCCCAACCAACTTTGACCACACCAATCTACCCAATGGCAATGGTGATCATCATGGTAATATTTCAGAATTACAAAGTTGTTTATTTTTTAATGAAATAAAATTATTGGGGTGCCATGTCTCGTGGTTAAGGCGCTGATCATGAGCTACAATATTCCCTGTTCTCATCCAATCTCTTGCATGTCATTCTTTTTTCCCCTACATGTCTTCTCCTCTTTTAACTGTTGGATGTTTAAAAAACAAAAACAAAAAAATAATGAGAAGAAACGATAATGATGAAGGTCTGCTATAACACATTAATCTTGGATAACAACATTCTAGGTCAAGATGATGGTTACTTCATGCATGCTAGCACAGTATCAGGTCAGGAGGGAGACTCAGCTTGGCTGGAGACCCAGAGAATGAGTGCCAAAAGGGAATGTCATATCCAGTGTCTCCAGTTCTACTTTTACCACAGTGGGAACGGGTCAGACCAACTTAACATCTGGATCAGAGAGTTTAAAGATGAATGGGACTCCACAGGAACCCTGCGCCTCATGGAACAGATCACTGGTAATGTAAAGTTGTATGATTATCTCATATCATCTGCTCTAAATGCTACTTGAAACTGTTTTTGTTTGAAGGCTACACTATGCACACAAATCACCCATTGATATACATGTAATGCAATTTTGTCATCACCAAACTCGTCCTGCAGGTCCACCAACATCTCACTGGCAGGTCAAGCATGTTTCCCTGAATGCCACCAAGCACTTCCAGGTGGAGTTTGAGATTCGTAAAGGAGCAGGAAGCTCTTCAGGCGGCTTCTCAATTGATGACATAAATCTGTCTGAGACTGAATGTCCTCATGTGACCATGCAGATTAATGATTTCGCGAACGTTTTGAACACAAGTGAATATGGAACCACTTTATACAGTCAACGGCAGTACTCCAGTGGGGGCTATGCTTACGCTGTTGGGACTGTGCTGTACAATACATATTTCGGGGTGTTTGTGCAACTCTTGTCTGGTAAATATGATGACAAGCTGGAGTGGCCTCTCCCACAAAGGCAGGTGACCTTTCAAATGCTGGATCAGAACCCCAACATCCAGCTGCAAATGTCCAAGCAAAGGAGCATCACTAGTGACCTGGAAGTCAGAAGTGGTAAGTTTCACCGAACATGAAAAAATCCTGTAAAAAAAAAAGTCACCACTTTAGCGCAAAATATGTAACAGTATTTTCTCTTGTATATGCTTTCTAAGATGGTACCTTTCTTTGGGACAACCCTCGTGAGATTGGAACTCCATATGTAGATGAGAATAATGAGACCATCTATGGTGGACCTCTGATTGGCAGAAAAATATTTGCGACTGCGGAAGAATTGAAAGTCAGAGACTTCCTCAAGGGAGGGAGTGCCGTTTTCGTCTTCAGATTTGAAGGCAGGCTGATAAAAAAGTTTTTTCTGCTAACATGGATTGTAATTGCTTGGAATTATACAGCAAACATGTTTGAAATGTTTAAATCTCTTTACATATTAGTTGAAGTTTTGTTGTATAACACGACTGAAACTTTATTTATTTTTTTCTAGATCTTACTCCTCTAGTTAATGGAAGTACTCTACCATGTCCTAAAGTGGGACCAGTGAAGGTTACATCTCCTAAGGATGTGGATAAAGGCCCATGCTCATCACAGTAGGACATTTTGTTATCAAATCAAGTACATTTCAGCACTTCTCATTTTACAATATGAGAAAGATTTTTACATTGAAATAAGATTTCAATATGTCTTACTCATGATGCTGTGTATTTTACAGGATCTTAACCACCACACGTCCACCTCCTAAAACAACAGATGACAGGTACTTACTCACACATTTTCATTTGCACTTATTTTATTTGTTATGAAGATATAAGCAGGTCAATGTCTTTACAAACTACATTTCACTATGAAAAAGCATGTGCCAAAACCCTCATTGAATCATGCTATTTTATCCATTCTTTTGTTCCTACAGCATTTTTGGCTTCTGTCCTGGTCTGGTGTCTTCTCCTGTCCTCACCCTCCTGCTAGCACTAATGCTTTTGATACCTTGATGTGTGTCTTCTCCCATCCACATCTTGCCTCTGCACATGGACCCATCCAGCTAGTTTTCCTCTGGCTGATTCATTCAGCTCTCTTGTATAATTTTCTTTTGTTGCTTCTTTGATATAATCTTAAAGGAATATCTTATTTTATCTTATAATAAAAAGAGAAAGGCACAGTGGGAAAATAACTGTTGGCAGATACTGTACATAAGGGGTAGTTTTTGTGTCACAACTTTTAACAGCATAATAATTAATGAAATGCCTGTAATAATGTGATCGTGGTTTTTGGTATTGTGATTTGTTAGTAAAGGTAGTAAGTGGATTATTCTTTATGGTTTGATTTTGAAATTGTACTTTTGATTTCTTATAGTATTGTATTGATATATTATAATTGATTACAACAGAATGTTAAAGGTTTACTGCTTTTGTAACTGGCTTATAAAAAAAACAGTTGCCCTTATTTTTGTGTATCAAGAATACATACAAGGTACAAGGTTACAAGGTAGATATATTAATCATTTTACAACACAGGGTTGTATAACGAAATGTAGTTATAATTCCTTTTATGCTTTTACAGTTTGATTTGTATCTTATACTTGTCCCTATCAATTGTTTTTGATTGTAGTTGCCTAGTTAAGAATGAAAGAAAATCCCTGCAATAGCATGGTTTTGTTTCTGGTCATCAGACAATTCTTTGATTTGGATTGTATTGTGTGGAAGCAGTAGACAATTTTGGGGATCTTGTATGGAATTTCTTTAAAGTCATACTAAATGTGCATTTTTAAAGATTCTTACATATTCTATGAGGTGGCAAGAGTAGGTGCCTTTTTAAGGATTTTAATGTATTTGCAGTGTGGGGGAGTACAAATAAATCTATCCATCAATCAACAACATAAAATTATAAAATGAGGCCCAACATTGATCAAAAGAGTCGTGGAGAGCCGACAGCAGCCACTGGAGGCGGAGTGTGAATGTGCAAATTTCTTCCACAACATGTCCTGAAGCAAGATGATGAAACCATTATACTAACTTACATCATCACAATGTAAGGTAAATATTCTTCTTTGCAACTTAAAGGTGGGGAAGAAAACCGTATTGTGTAGGTATTAAGTATTAAAAAAATGTTTTCACTTTTACTTGAGCAGTTCCATTTTATGCTACATTATAGAAACATTGTACTTTTACTATTATCTTTTACTTCACTGTATTTATCTGTCTTCCATTTTTACATTGAAACATGTTCATCATCTTATGAAATGCTTTGTTCAATATTTAACCAGTTGTTTCCAAACTTTTTGGGATGTGGCCCCTTTATGTTTTAGATAGAGTTGATTTCTCTAAACTTCTCACATGGTGTCATTTAAGTAATTAATTTCCAAAGAGATAAAATATATATATTTTACAAAAAAGGTTTGAGAAATGATGAATGAATACACGTTTATGTATCTGTTTTTCATCTGTCCTGTGCCATTAATCATCTCATGACCTCGCCGATATACTGTATCTGGTAATTCTTTGGAGGAGCCACAACCCCTAGGTTGAGGACCACTGGATAAAACAAATTAATATAAAGTAGGTAAAACTAGCTCCTCCTCAAGCAGCTACAACAGTAAAATGCTGCTTACACTATGATGCAATTCATGTCATTTTTCTGCTAAACAAATGCTTTCACTTTAAAAAGTACCCTACTTTTGTACTTATGTAGGATTTTGAATGCAGGACTTTTACTTATATTGGGAGTATTTATAAATTTGTATATTGGTGCTTTTACTTAGGTAAAGGATCTGAATACGTCTTCTACCACTGTTCAAACCAAAGAGCAAGGCAAATTCCATTCAGTTATACAAACCATGTATAATCAAAGATGGTGCAGGCTCAGTCCTAGAAGTTTTAAGACTGAAGAGAAGTATTGATTAAAGCAGCATTACCAGATTTTCGCCACTTGGGGACAGCAGAAACAAAGCCATTAAAGTCTTTTGTGTGTCTGGCTTATGAAAGTCCATCTCCTATACTGTACTTAGCTCTAGTTTTAGTCTCCACTGACTCCTGAGAGAATCTTAACTGCTAAATGCTCCTTTATGCTCACCAGCTGTTTGCTAACTTCGTCTGTCTGATGTTCGGTGCTGGGCAGGTAGCATGTATTTATCAGAACATATTTGGTGAAAACAGCTGCCTGGATTCTCTATTATAATATGCGACCTGTTCACATTATATTTAGTAATTTATCCCATTGTTGGTAAAAAAAAATATCGATTATAGCAGCTTTAAACCGGGAAGGTGTGTTATTTTGTGGGCTGGGTGGAAAGAAATCAGTTATAAAGATCAAGATATTGTCTTGTCTCGTCTTTCCTCGAAAGACAATTAGAAGTTTCACAAATGGCATGCATCACTGTTGCATGGGTTACACTGGATTATATTATACTTACTATAATTAAGCTGTGTCTGAATTCTGTGTCTGAATTCTGCACCCATAAGCAATAAAAAGATCCAGTTTTACAAAAAGTAATCACATTTATTTCACTCCATCGATTCATGATCACCATATATTATTTCTAACCACTTTGATTTTCACATCACATGTTCTCATGCATCACTGATGCCCTCTGACATACATCTCTCTAGCCTCTGGGTATATATCCAATACGCCATAAAGGAAAGACATTTGTGCTACAGAATGTAGGCATGGCTTGGCCAGTCCTGGCTCCTTAGTAGTTGTCTTTGTCTCTCTGTCTGTCCCAGAAATCACAGTCGAAAGAGAGTCTCTGAATCAAATTTCTAAAACTTAGTCCAGGTTCCTGTGTGTCTCTGTGCCGGTCCAAGCTGTGGCTTGCGAGCTGACTCCAGGCAGCCCCCGAACCTCTAGCCAATGGTGACACCAAAGCCACACTGGAACTTGTTCTTGCGATGGTTGAGGAAAGCCCCTAAGGCCAGTGTGAGAGGCAGCGGCAGCAGTTTCTTTTCAAGGGTCGCCCCAACCACCCAATTACTATCAACGGTACCTGCAGAGAGCACAGGAGAAAAAGTGGAATGAGTTCCTCTTAAAAAGAAAATCTACATATATTTCATAATGTCCAAATGAATGGCCATTTAATTTCATTGGTGGAAGAAAAATATAGGTATTAGCATGAAAATATATTTCAAGTACCAAAATTAAAAATACTCATTATGCAGAATCACCCATTTCAGAATAATATGTAATGCAATTGTACTGTAATTACTGATGCATTAATGGGTAAGCATCATTGTAATGTGTAGTGGATAAAGGGAATTCCAATTACTACACCAGTACACTGCTGGGTAGCTTAATCAATAATAGTTAAAAAATATATATAGTTCATTATATTTTGTATTAATTATCTAGATCTGAAAAGTAGCCAAAGCAGTCAAATAAATGTAGAAGTAAAAAGCACAAATTTCCCTCCGAAACACAGTGGACCAAAATTTTAAATAGCATTACAATAAAGTAAATTACAAGTACATGTACTGAGTGACTTTCCACCACTGCTTCATTTATGTGGCTATGTTTGTATTCATACTTATCCATTTACCTTTAAAGAGCAAGTTAGCTTTGGGAAGGTCCAACTGGTAACCGAAGGATGTTGTGGTATCTTGCATCCTTGTGCTGGCCTCAAATTCAACTCCTATCTGCAGCTGTATTCGAAGACAGAGGTTAAAGGACAGGTTCACATTTTTTAATCTTCATACACTTCTCACATGCCAATATGCGCATGGAAATATTTCATTGTCGCCATTATTATTCTCCTGTCTGTGTAAGGCTTCCTCAGTCTTTTTTTGTACAAAATTCGCACTTTTTTTCTTGTTTCTCTGGACAGCTGATATGCAGTGGAGGGATAGTAACACAAAGAAGGGATTTTGTACTTGATTGAGTTTAACCTGACAGCCAGTATAGACAGGAGGAACAACTACAGCAACAATAAATGTTTTAATTTACATATGGGCATGTGAGTATAGTAGTATAAAAAAATATACTGTATAAAAAAATATAAAAATGTAATCCATTCTTTAAGCCACTATGCAGAATTGGAACCAAAATGCATTTGAGCAGCTTTGGGAGACGAACCATGACGGATCGACAGAAATACATCCCTAAACTTTTACTAAAGTTGTCAGGTACCTGATCATTGGCTTTGTGATAGTATGTAGCATGAGCTCCTGCTCCTCCTAAAGTCAGTGTAGCTACGTAGTTGTCACCTGAGGTGAAGAAAAAAAAAAAAAACATTAAACATCTATTGCACAGATAACATAAAACAATGAGGTGGTATTAGGCACCATTTAATCTAAATCCTGGTCACACTACAGAAGCATGAATTCAAGTAATTTAAGCCTTTATTAAATGATGACATTAATAAAACAAGATATTAAAATTTGAATTTAAGCATCAAGCGCACAGTTCAATAAGCTCAATAAGAGTGGACTTTACCTGTATACCTGCCCAAGAGGGAGGTGACAGCTCCTTCTTCCCCTGGTCTCCTGTGGTACACTAGCTCACCACCCAGAGCCAATCCTGGTGTGATAGACTGGAGATAGTGGGCCACCAAAATGCCTGAGGGAAAGTAAAAGAGCTTCCATTATATATACAGATACAGAATAGTCCCTTCTCATCCATACTTATAGTATGAATTTCTTCCACAGGTAGAATAACAAAGGGGATTAGATGGTTGATCGAGTATTCTCTTCTGATTTTGTTTTCTTCATCATGGGGGGTAAAAAATAAATAAATAACAATGACTTGTAACATTAGCGTTAGCTGCTAACTAGCCAATTCTCCAAAACCTGGACAAACTCTGCTTTGAAGGGTAATCCAATACATGTCATTTTTGGCCGACACTGAACATTTATTTTTCTATTATTGTTGTCTTGTCTCAACAAACCGCTTTGTTAAGAATGAGCAACTTATACTTCAAAACCTCCACTGCAATTTTGTGAAAATCATACCAGATCCAACAAGAACATCTGGATTTCCGAGCGTCACGGCAGAGGTGAAGTCTTCACCACGATACTCCATGTCACATTGCCAATTCACAAACTTGTGCTGCTGAGTCTGCAACACACACACAAAAAATAGAATACAAATTCTCAGACTGGAATGACAATGTCAGCGACCATTAAAAGCTAAAAAAAGACAACAATTGAAAGGCCGTTCCCTGTACAAGTCTACATACCTGGATGGCTATTTTTGAGCGCACAGCAGTTGTGAGCTGGTGGATGATCTGGGCGTTCAGACTGCCAGTATTGTCCATATCTCCAACCATGACTGGAAATGACTGAGGAGAACAAAACACACTTCATCAGCTTTCAAATCATGTGGATGACATTTGAAACCTTACAATCTCCATTAAAATGTAGCCAATGTATAGAAGATACATTTCAGATGCTGTAGAGCTGTATTTATCAGTTGCTTATGTGCTCCTTGTGGACAAAAGAGGTAATTAAATTTCTTTAATTTTTCTGCAAACCTTTAATGCCATGTCAATACTGTCATTGTTTGTTATCTTTTATATATAATAATATATAACACTGGCATTTTTCCTGCTCCTTTGCATGAAGGTTCCTGCACTTTTCTTCAAACACACTCGCCTTCCTTCCCTCTTCTGACACAAATTTCCAAAGCCAAGACAATAAGAAGAAGAAGAAGACGACGACAATATAGGCTATTTTAATTTCCAAAACATGAACAAGAAGGCTTGGAAAAGGCAGTTATAAATCCTGAATAAAACCCATAAACACAGCCTTCACTTATAAGTCAAACCTTGTTTAAGTTGGCCGTGCAATTAGCAGGAATCAATCTTTTTTTTTTTTTTTCATTAAAAGGAGAGAAGCAACTTTAAAAAATTCATCAGACAATGTTCAAACAATGACCAGGAAGATTTACAACTCAAACTTCCAAATATCAACATCACTTTAGGTTTGTTTAAGTGACGGTAAATTGTTCATTACCTCTGCTGGTCCTGTCTGCTTACTGCCTACGTAGGTGGAACCAAATCGATAACCAGAATCAGCCAGGGTACTGAGGGTAACAGTATGGCAGACCTGGAAGTGGTTACTCAGGCCCTTGTTGACCACTAACCGCACCCCTTCCATCTGCAGAGGGAACACCTCTAAAAGAGAGAAAGGGCATAAAAACATTTTTCAAAATCCATGCCAATAATGATAGGGTTATTAAAATACCATCATTATTACTCTGAATGTGAAGAATAGATCACATCATGAATTGTGTGAGACATGGATCAAGTAGCTTAATAGACTTTCTAACCTTTACATTTGCGGTGGCACTCCTCATATGTGCCTGGGTTCGGTAGAGCGGAATCTGAATCTGCTGTCTCCTGGCCAGATGTTGGAGGGACGGAAGATACTGAGGGCATAGAGAACCCTGGAGGGACCGACACCAGCCCTGGGACCCCTTGGCCACCTCCAGCTGCAGCTGGGGCAGGACTGGGGGAGGCGGCAGCCAACACACTGCCCATACTCTGACACTGTAACAGACTAGGGAAGAGATAGACAGTGGGTGAATAATTTATTTACTTCATTAAATATATCAGTGTAATATAACTCACAGCTGCGAGCTACTGGCTAGATAGATAATCCAAGAAAAAGTGAAAAGAGTCGAAATTGGAAGTTACACTTAACTCACATTGGCTTGCATGACTTGCAAGGTTTCATATAAGAAAATTAGTATTCTGCTTAGAGTACAATTACTCAATATGCACACAGAATATAATTATCTAATGTACTCACTTAGCTCTAGAAACGTTAGCTCACTCAGAGGCATGCATTCAGCTACCATTAAGTTGTCTAGCTAACGTTACAGTGAGTGTCCTACAGTGCTGTCAGTAACAGTACACAAGGTTGGTTGCAGCTAAGGCCCAGTTTAGTCAGACTTTCGACATCTATAATAAATTACAATACAACCTGGTAACCACAAGAAATGTGAAACTACAACTTGCGTTGCTGCAGAGGGCAAATTTGGAGATTAGCCAGCAGCCGGCATAAGTATGCGCTAGCAGTATTTAACCTGGGAAGGCTAACGCGAGCTAACAGGGTTGGTTGATTGGTTGGTTGGTTGGTTAGCTGGGTGGCTAGGTAGCCATGTGGAGTCGACCACGAGATCTGTCCGTCTTTATATGGTAACCACGGTAATTACAAATACGATGTGTGGAGAATTGAAACTATCAGGTATGCTCTTCTTATAAAACAAACCAAAAAAAAAAAAAAGTACTCCTGCAAAACAAGGTTTAGCTACTCACGCTGACGGTTTGGGTCCGGGGGGGTAATTCAACACCGGTAAAGTTCACGACAACGTCCGCGACTGTAGTTTGACAAGTGCCCGCCCATTTCCCGCGACTCACCATTTGATTGGTTCATGTAAATGTCACGTCAACCGCCATTGGCTGAAATTAACGCTGGGACAGCCCGCTCCCCATGACGTACGACGACGTTCATTCGCCTAACATTAGTTTCATTCAGTCGACTGAATGACATTCCAAGGGTACACCTACACTGGGGCCATAGTCACCATTATATCTACAGTCATACACGTTAACTACCATATTTTACATACATAAACCTAAGTATGCATGTTTATTTTTGTGTACCTTTTTAACTGTGATAATGGCCAGATACACTAGTGAAGGGTATAATTCACAAAATTTCAGGCAAATAAGAACTGCAAGATTTGTTTCAAACTGGGGTCCTGTTATGTTGTGATTTTACACAAGTGACCTGCTGTGTGAAGCAGGCTCCTGGCTGCTTCAGTGCTTTGTAATTCAAACTCAATCACCATTAACAAAAAACACTAAGAATACACAGTTTAAAACAACAGGAGTTTGTCATTTGGACTTTTATTCCTTTGAGGCGCTGGCATTAACACACTTTACAGAAATGTATTTCTTGCCTGTCTTTTTACTTAACAAAGAATGCGGTCATCAAGTCATTAAAGTATTTCTTTCTCCAGAATGCTGTGATGTATTACAAACCCACACAGAAAATGTTATTTTTTCCCCCCCTATCACATGACCTGTATTAATTCAAATGATGCCTGCACTGAGGCTAAATGAGGAACCACAATCTATCATCAAAAATTAAACTCCAGAGTCAGACATAAAGGAAAGTTAGGGCTAATTACTACTAAAGTTTCTGAATGCTTTAGAAGAGGGCACACACACACACACACACAATGGTCCCTTCAATGCTGGTGCATGGCAGTGGGGTAATGGTGGCAGGAAATTTCACAGTTATGAAGTTTTAAATTTGAGATTTTTTTTTGTTTTTTGTTTTTTAGCTCATGTTTCAAATTTGTTATAAGCCAAATGCAAAAGGAAAAACTGCAAATCATTTCAGACTGAAATTGTGCTTTCAAAACAGATTAACTAAGAAAGAAATGTATGGGTGCCATTTTACCCACAATACAAAGTTGGGACATGAGCCTGGGCAAAGTAGAAGTTTGACATTAGACTAAAGGCACTTTGGAGGAAAGAAGGGACACAAACTACATTAAGATGACTGACAAGTTGGCCAGTTTCAACATAATGTTAACTAAAGGCCCTTCTCATCCTGTTATGTAAATTATTGATAACTTTAAGACCTGAGAAAATGCTGCCTGGTGCCACAGCTTTAAAGGGATCAAAGAAATTTCACAATTAAATACTGACTTATTGTCAATACTGGATCTGTGCTTTGACAAAATGCACTACAGTGTCACTGACATTATACAGTCATCTTTAAATATCCTATTTCTGCAGTAAACACTTTGAAATAAAACGCAAGTTCAATATCAGCAACACTGTTTCAGGTGCCCCAAAGTAGCCCTCATGCTTATGCAATTCTTTGTCTACTATTACAACTTTTGTTCCTTTTTGAAGGATGTTAATCTGGTTAACCCTGGATATGTGTACAATCCACTTTGTTTTACAACTGCATCCCCAGATCTCAGCAATAACATTGGTGAGCAAACTGGATTGATGGCCAAAGCTACAAAAATGACTACACTCAGTTGCCACATTATTACATACACCTGCTTGTTATTGCAAATATCGACTCAGCCGCTTAATCCATAAAAGCATGCAGACATGGTCAAATAGTTTAGTTGTTCAGACCAAACATCAGAATGGGGAAGAAGTGTTAATTGTCTGTGGAATGATTGTTCGTGCTAATCTCGTGGGATTTTCACACACACACGTCCATAGGTTTTCACAAACGTGATGTACATTTTTTTTTAAATATGCAAAAAGGGCCATGTCAATGAGAGGCCAGAGGGGAATGGCCAGACTGGTTCAAGTTGACAGGAAGGCAACAGTAAAAAATAAACATATTACAGCAGAAAACTGAAGCTAGAGGAACTAGGCTCACCAAAACTGCAAAGCCGATGATTGGAAAAATGTCATAGTATTGCAAATCTCGATTTCTGCAGCAACATGCAGATGGCAGGATCAGAATTTGGCGTAAACAACGTGAATCATTCAACATTTCAGGCTGTTGGTGGTGGCAACAGCAGCATAGTGATGTTAACATTGTTTTGGTACACTTTTGGCCATTTAATACTGAGTGCAGATAATTTAAATCCCAGAGCCTTCTTGAGTATTGTTGCCGACCATGTGCATCCCTTTACAGCCACAATCTACCTATCTTCTGATGGCTCCACAGTCACCAGATCTCAATCCAACAGAGCACCTTCGATATAAGGTTCAACCCAAAATCGTCAGCATGAATGGGCAGCTAACATATTGGCAGCAACTGCATGAAGCCATCATATCAACTTGAACTAGTCTCTCTAAGGAATGTTTCCAGCACCTTGTTGAATCCATACCAATTCAAGAATTCAGGCTGTTGCGGTCCACTACTAAAAATGTTTATCTAATAAAGTAGCCAATGAGTGTAATTATTTCTGTTTTTAAGGGTGGGTTCCTTTAAAGCATCTGCTCAAAAGGCAGGTCAGCAGGATGTGAACATGGCCACGTGTAATTTATCTGCACAGCAAGAATGTGAGCTGGGCTCTTTCCTCCAAGTCTACCTTTGGTTTCACATTTTCATTCTTACAGAAAAGTATAAAAAAAAGTTAATAACAATTTCCATGTATTGTCAAGAGGGACTGAGTTCAATGGCAGACTTAAGTAATAGCCCAAATCACATGTACAGTGACAGAAAGTGGCAGTTTTCAGTAGAGAAGAAAACAGTTTACCAGCATATGGACAGACAGAACTGGAGATCGCTGTAAACTAAATCTGTAAAAGAAAAGAAATCTAAAATAGAACATTTTGGTGGCAAAGCAGGGAACAGAAATCTTCACTTGGAATCTTGTGTGTTTGAAGCCAGCGCCATGTTCCTCCTGAAAAAGAAACCACAAAAGCTAAGTTAGGATTTCCGATAACCACCATGTGAATGAGTCACAGCTTTAGCAAACCTGCAGACAGCTGGCTGTGTGCTCTGATCAGCTCCCTCCAAATCCATGTTGACTGCGGATGTGCAGTCTGAGGACGACAACCTTAAACCCTTCACCTTTAAAGCCTGTAAAACTTCAGTTAATCTTCTTGATGAAAGAGGATATTATCCATTAGCAAGCTTGTTAGTATTTGCTGCTCTTCAAGCTACAGTGCACGTTTACAGTGTTATGATTACACCAGGTATTCATTTGTTTCCCTCATTTATAGACACAAAATCAAAGAGTGTGGAAATTAATATTCTGTGATTTTATCATTCTAATTATTCACCTATTTAACAAATAATGTACTTTGACCTATTCCTTACTAGTAAATGTTTAATAAACCTAAGGTTTATTTTCAGTCATGGCTGGTTTTTGAGCTGTTTGAAGAACTGACCATTTATTCAGGCTGCTCACAGTTCCTTGTTCATGGCTCCGCCCTCAATGTCATCATCATCTGGGTCAACGGAGTGAAACTCTGCCACATACAGGCTCTTATCGATGCTGCCGGGGATGGGCTTAATTTCAGTAACTAGTTGATCCTCGATGTTTTTCAGGTTGTACCGATCATCTGAAGTTATCAGATTGATGGCCAGACCCAGGTGACCAAAACGCCCTGAGAAAGAAGAAACATAGTGTAGCTATTATGTAATGTTAGTAGTAGTGTCATTAAACTGGGTGGACCAGACTTTGAAAGACGTAGCTTTTATTGTTTTGAGAGTAACCATATATAAATAGGTTAATCCTCACCTGATCTGCCAATGCGGTGCAGGTAGGTCTCTGCATTTTTGGGGAAGTCAAAGTTGATGACCACATTTACTGCCTGGATGTCAATCCCCCGAGTGAATAGGTCTACAAAGAAGTATGTACATTAATTAACCTGCTGACCACGGATCATTTAAATTTACACTTTATACATGTTAAAATGCAGAAGTTCTTTCACCTACCTGTGCAGACCAGGTTTCTGCACAGTCCATTCCTGAAGTCATGGAACACACGGTTCCGGTATTCCTGCATCATCTTTGCATGAATGTAGAAGCACGAATAGCCGAGTTGGGTGATTTTCTTGGCCAGAAGCTCAACCCTCTGGGTTGAGTTACAGAAGATGATTGACTGGTTGATCTGAAGCTGTAATAAAAACATAGTTTTGATTATTGATAACTGAAGGAATAACCTAAATTCTTAACGCTCTCTCTCTCGTATCCTACTGGTCTACCTGAGCTACAGTCTATGCTCGGGTGGCCAAACAGCAGCTTAAGAGCTGCATACAGCTTCTTTGCCTGTATAAATGTGGCTCTTATCCTGCTGTCCTTTAATTATGAATTATTTATATCATATGTAATTATTGTCCTTATATGAGAGCCAATATCTGAAATTAAACAGAACTGCACACTTCAGAGGAACAATCACATATCTTGTAACTAATAATATTTCCACATTATTTCGCAAGTAAGAGTTAGCATTATGGATAAAATCACAATATATGTAATGGTATATTGAATTCATGATTAGATTGTAAATTTTTTGTAAAATCAATTGATTAACAGTAAAGGGAAATAATCAGACGTGAAACTTTTAGTGTGGCACTGCTTTTTTAGCCTGGTATCAAGTTACGCTCTAAAATGTAAATTTTTTTTAGGCTCTTAGTATGCAACTGGTAGGTGCTCAACACTCACCCTAGAAAAGAGTGTGTTGAGACAGTGGACCTTCTGTCTTTCAGTCACATAGGCATAGTACTGAGTGATGCCCTTCAACGTCAGTTCCTCCATCAGGTTGATCTCGTAAGGCTTCTTCAGGTGCTTGTTCTGGAGAAGACATTCACAGTGCATTATGAAGCGCAAATAAGATGATAACATTTTTCAGAGAATCGAATTGTTGTTTAAGTTCTCACCATGAATTTTTGCACACTGATGGGGAAAGTGGCAGAGTAAAGCAGGATCTGACGTTCCTTTGGCAAGAAGCTGATAATATCTTCAATCAGGACCACAAAGTCCTGGGACAGCAGTTTATCTGCCTGAATAAAAGACACATTCAAAGAAATACTGTTTAGAAACAGTCAATTTCTGATTTACCATTTCAATAATGTTTAAAGCCAAACCCACCTCATCCATCACCATCATTTGGGCTTTATCCACTTTTGCCACACCCTTCTTCATCAGGTCTAGTATCCTGCCTGGTGTAGCAATGACTACATGCACTATTAGGAGAGGAGGAGGTACAAACAGCACATCACAACAAGTTCCATATAACTTTACAGAGAAGCTGCACAAAGGACAGTGTTAAACTAAGGTCAACAGAAGGGTTTGTCATTCAGCAACAAATCAGTCAAAATGTCAGAGGGACAAGATAAAAGAAACACACTTTGAAACACTGGACAGTAGCTTCTAGGAAAAAACTTTGAAAATCTTCTCTATGGAAACATCCCTTTTCATTATAAATATTAACAGCAAAAGTAGTACCTATCTCATCAAGACGCATGATGTCATCCCTCAAGTTGGTGCCACCTGTGGTAGCCATGACCTTGACCCCTCCAAGGTGCTTGCTGATCTGAATGCTGATCTGGCTCACCTGTAGGGCCAACTCTCTAGTTGGCACCATTACTATAGCTGGATTGAGACAGAAATGGGAAGGGCTGATGAAATGCAAGGGTTGATGAGATGCATGGAAAAAATCCAATAAACTGATGCTCACAAAAAAAGGTAACTTTATATAAAGAAGACCATAAACCCTGTTCACCAACAGTAGATAGAAATGAGTACGGGGTAGAACAGTGCAGTGGTCATGGATTCCTTATGCTCCACAGATTGTGGACACAAATAAATGCGTGTCAAGTGTGCTATAGCCTTGTTCAACTAGATGAGATTCTGTTGAGTCTTAATGGGATTACGCAGCTGATACAACACAACAGATAAACATCGGTGAACAACATCTTATTTGCCAATACGCCAATGTCAGTCAATTGGTGAAGAATCTGCACCATCAGACAGAAGACAGAGGAAACTCACCCTGGATGTGATCCTTCTTCAGGTCTATTCTTTCCAGGAGAGGTATGAGGTAGGCTCCACTTTTTCCTGTGCCATTCTTGGCACGAGCCAGAATATCTCGGCCTGACAAAGCGATGGGGATGCTTTCCTCCTTTTGGCAGGAAATAAGATAAACAATCATGAAGATAACATACTGGAAAGACTTTACTATTCCTGACCCATTAGGGCTGCAACACAACAGTACTTACTACAGGGAAGCGCATATAACTGCAATAAAACCAGACTAAAATTGTGCAATTTATTGCTCAGATTTATCAGCGAAAAGAGAGACGAAATGTCTGTTTTTTTATTGGACCACAACCATGCAGACCAAGAGCAGGAGTGGGCTGTTGAAGTGGGAGTGATGGGATCATGTGGCTGGCTAGGGGGTGCTGCAAAACTGGCCCCAAATTCTGCTCCATTGGCATGCACATGCTAGAATAAGACATTAATGGGTAGTACAGTCAAGAGTCTTCAGAGAGGAGGATGATATGTAATGAAGATGCAGATATGAATAACTGGATAATTTTGGCGAGTGAAATGTGGAAACATGGACTGAAGTAGCAAAGCACTGTTCTGGGTATTGGTGATTGCAGTTAATTTTGTAGTTCTGATTCATAAGAAAAGCATTTTTTAAAAATCCTGCTCACTTCACTTAAACAAGAGGGCCTTATGTTCTAATGGCTTGACTCACCTGGATAGGAGAGGGTTTCTCCCATCCCATTTCAAAGATTCCCATTAGAAGTTCCCTCTTTAGGCAGTAGTCTTCAAATTCATTTCCCTTAGTTGATGTCACATCCTGAGCAGAGCAGAAACATGTGAGATTACTGTTTAATATAATCCAGAGGTTGATGCGACAGCATAAGCCAACACTCAAAACATTTCAAATTAAACAGAAAATGTGGGAAGTCTCTCAGAATTATGAACATCTTAAAAATTATGTTTGCTATAATGAATAGTTGCCTTACCGACGTTTTCATCCGGGTATCTTTTGGAGGAAGCTCCAGGCACTTCTTCCAGTCATCGCCAAACCTTATAAATTATAATTGTAATTTGTATTGTTAAATAAATAGCAATATTGCATACAAAAAGGACGACAATGAAATAAAAACATTTGTTTTTTCAACCCCAAAACAATTTTTCCCATTTATACCAAACGGGGGGGGGGGTATCAAGTATTAGCCATGCCTGATTGACTTTTACTGTTAACACGCTTTGTTCTCTGGGAAGGGATCACAGCCTGCAGATTCTTGTATCCAGTGTAAGCAGTATAGTACAGAAGTGATTAACAGATACAAAAACTAACATTTCTTTCTACGTAGAAGTTAGCGAACACATGGAACCAGCGACTTACTTGATGCCGCCACTGCTTTGAGGAATGCTCATGGTCATTTTCTGGGGGGCACTGGGATGTTGAGCAGTTGCAAAGAGTCCTGACTGTTGTCCAGCTGGCTTATTCTGTCCTCTGAACTGCCCATTTGGTTTGTTCAATCCAATCATTGGTGCTGGGTTTGCTGTTCTTGCTGTAGCCATGGGTTCAGCGCCTTAGCTGGCAATTTTCCTCAGTGTATGTTAGTTATATTTGCGTCCTTTTCACTGCTCTGTTTCACTTAATGCACTCGTGTGTAACAAAATAGTAAAAGCTGAAAAAATAAAACTTTTTCTCGTATCGTTCCTTTTTAAAGAATGTATTGTGTATACAATCTGACGTTCAGACCTCTTGAAAAGAAGAGGTCTGCGTATGAATTCTGTCTATTTACAAGACAACTCTCCAAAAAAGGGAGAAATTAACATTCATATGAATAAATAAATCAAATATGTGACCAAAACAACCTATTTTTCTGTCAAAAATGTTTTTCAGAGTACTGTCATCCTTGCGGTAACGATGACCCAGAATTTTCTTTGTGTCCTTAGAGTAGCTTGGATTTTTTAAAGTCCAAGTGCTATGTTTTTACATTCAAAATGGTAGCAAAATATGATCTACTTGGTCACGTCTCAGACTATTCTTATGATTTGTTTCTTTGACATCAAGTCTTCAAACGTCTTTGCTGAGGCTTAATACTGGCTCAAGAAAGTAACTCCTGCAATCTTTTTTTTTTTTTTTAAACATAGACAGTCCACTTTAAATGTCTGCTGTTATCTATCTTGTCCCAGTTTCCATTACTTCTGCAGCAAAAGTTGAGATGGCAGTCTGCAAAGTGCTTTCAGAATTGCAGATCAACAGAAAATCCAGGTTACCTGCCAGACAACAAACAGTAGTGGGTAGATATTTTAGAGCAATGACAAGTCAAAAAACAGCACTTAGTGAGCAACCCCAACTAACATTACTCAAAAAAAAAATACATGCATTTTAGATGTGTGCATTAGCAATGGCTCTCTTTTATCAGCTTGACTCGTTCAGCAAAACCATTAAGTATCAGCAACCACTATCATTCAAAAACAACGTAATGTTTAAAGTTAACTGAACCGATAAAAACCTCCAACCACGTAGCTTAAGGTTAGCAAAATTAAAATGTGGAAAATTGTGGAGACAGCAGCTTCATATTGATATAAAATGGTAAATAATACATTGGCTAGTGCGCCTTTGTTGTGATGCCAGGGGTTGAGAGCTAACCTAAAGCTAACGCAATAAACAGTCGTGAGCTAAAATTCAACGGACAAACCAAGTTACGTTCAAAGTTAGCCACCGGGCTTTTAACCTTGTAAACATAAGACAAAAGTAAAAGCCAACCATCAGCTTATTTGTCCTGTCTCTTCTTTCGCGAACACCTCGTCGTCGCCGATCGATAATTTAGCAAAGTTAGCTAAAAGAAGTTAATTAGCACCGCCTGAAAGCTGCGTTAAAACTTTTAATGCATAGCAACGTGGCTGCCGTCCAGCTAGCAAGCTAACGTCCACGTTAGGTCTTGTTTCTGTGTGTGAGAGGAACCTCGGTTTTAAACCCGCATCGATACACGACGCGCAAAAGACATAATCTGTCTGGATCTACTCAAATCGCACCTGTTTACTTCAACACTTTTTATTCAACCTGACCAAACGACTAAGTTAGCATGCTAGTGTTAGCTTCACCAACGCTGCTGTTAATCGATATGCTTCAGAAATTACTTCTTTTTTTTTTTGGTTTTGTTTACCCAGTTGGAGAAAAGATTGCAAGCTACCTTCACTTTGCTACATCCACCCAAAGTCGTCCCTGTTGTGTCGTTGCTTATCGACAGTTTAATTAAGTTCAGTAAATACTCGCTGTTTCTAGAAATCCACCGAGTTGTCACTCTTTTGTCTCTTCTTTCACAATCTCGGCGATTCAACATGGCCGCGCGTTCGTTTTTGGGCCGGTTGTTTGCTCCGAAGGACCTCCCACCGACCAATCACAGCACTGCTTTCAAATTCGCAAAGGCTCACTGTGTTGGATCAGCGGACAACAACAAAAAAAAAACAAGACAAAAGTAAATCTGTTGGACACATTTTTATACACATATGTATATACAAAAAATATCTACAACTATTGACAATGATAAAATGGTAAAATAAACACACAGGCACGTATGGAGAGCTTTTCCAGTGAGCCAACATACACAACAGCAGCACCCTGAGTCTGACCTGAATGAAACAGAACCTGTATTAATATCACTGGTAACACCTATTTTTACTGTACACTTTCATGTCAGAATGGCTGCTGTGGAAAAAGGTCTACATTAAGCAGGTCAAGTTACATGGTCAAGCCTTACAGTAAGCAGACTCAATTCAGTTTGAAAAAGGGTGTCAAGTCAGAGTGAGAACATTTCTTTCATGTAATCCCTCATGTTTCTTTATCTCTGTCTCTCCCTTTGTTACTGCCATCTCTCTGCTGTCTTCTACCAAAATGTAAAGGCCAAAATACTTTTGAAAATGGACTCTGAGCTCACTGGGCTTAGGTCTCTGTCCATCCTTTACAGACATCTCCAGGCAGTTTCAAAACAGTTCTTTGTGGTAGCCAGGTGAGCCCTGGTAGCTCACCTGGTAGAGCTGGCACCCCATGTACCAACGGGCCTGCAGTCTCCTTTCTGCAGGATCATGAGGTTTTGAACTCCGACGTGGTGGACCACCCTGCTTCTGCAGTGTTATCGGCCTCTCACTCCCGCCTTTCCTGTCGCAATCGATCAAAGGCAATGAAAGCCCCACAAAAAAACAATAACAGTTCATTGATTGTTTATTGTTCTTGATTGGCAGGCAGTGGCACATTTCTGTTGCTGCATGTGGAAAAATCCTGGTGATCCCTGCAGCAGGATTAGGGGATTGCACATAACAGCAGCTGGATGTGCAGGGAGGTTGCAGGGTTTCTGTCCAGGCATCAGGAGGGACACCAATGATGACTGTCTTTTGTCATGGACTCCAGAAAAACAAGGCCAGCTTGTAGAGAAGTCTAATTTCAGGTGCAGTCTCCCATTGGCTAAAACTTCTTGTGGAAGTCCTTTTAGGCACTTAAGTCTCTTTGTTGGTTGGATGTGTGGAGGTAGTTGCGAGTTGCACTGGACAACAAGTTTGAGTTAGTAAAATAGAAGCGCAGATGGAGTCTTTGGAGAGTGGGAGGTGCTATGATGAGGTGTGTGTGGTGTAGTCGTAGGCGAACATCCACGACTGTGGTTGGGAGATGGGGACCCTAAAGGGGAGGCAAAGAGTACAAATTAAAAACTGTCACTTTAGTGACTGTGTGTACTTGTGTGTGAATTTGCGTGCATGTTCTTACCATTTTCCGTTAAGTTGCTCCCATGTGGTGAGACAGACACACAGTGCTGATCTTGAACTCTTAATGGGTTGGAGCCTCTCCCTCTTAACACATCTGTTATCTGCAAAAGATTTACAGTCTGTTACAACTTTGTCTGCATGACCTATAGTGAGTGTCACAGTGATCTACAAAAAAAATGACCCTTGAGTCAAACAGGAATGTAATATTAGTGGAGAAAACACTGCACTATTCAGGTCTGACCTCTAGAGGGAAGGATACACACATTTACTTTCCATTTCTGGTTCCAACCATTTCTTTTCACTATCTTAACAAGGTCTGAGTCAAGCAGATTTTGCAACTGTTTGCATTCGTTCTGATGTAACTGAAGTAGCCAATGAATGGGATTTTCCATCATAAAATTACAGTGTGTTTGGATAATCACAAGGAAGTCATTCACAGTCAATTTGGTAACCTTTCTTTGTTTTCTTGACACAATTTGAATTGTTCTGAAGCAGCAACACACAACCATAAAAATTGCTAAAACTAACAATATAAGTGGAATTTCACAAAGGTCTTTTTTTTTTAATGCACATTTTCTTTCTCTGTTATCTCCTTGCTCACTTTCTTGTTCTTGGCCACCATGACAGGGGTGTCATTATGGTAGTTCTTGAGGCTGCTGTCAGCCCCACTCTTCAGCAGCAGCCGCACTGTGTCCACCTGACCTCGGCCACAGGCGCTGTGCAGGGCTGTGTTCCCACTGTATGACTGGCTGTTGACATCACAGCCACTCTGCAACAGAAAAACAGGAGAAGTTGACACATATGTGATTCATAAAGAAAGCCAGAGTAGACGCAGTTCAGGATGGAACATTAAACATAAGATAGATCCATGAGAGGATGAGTTAGATCAGATAGGAGAGATGAAGATGAAAAAATGCTTTAATAGGAGAGATAAAGTAAGGATAAAAGATAATTCTATCCAGGAACAACACCTGCTAAGCTCTGATAACAAAGCTAAACTATGAATATTTTGCTCCAATTCTTTGAAGGTCTTATCTATAAGCTAGACAAAAATAGCAAACACAGTATGCAGCTTATGAGCTGGAAAGAGAAAACCAAACTTATCAAATAGAGCTGAGTCACAGCCCTTCTCTCCCCTCCTTCCTCCCTGCCCACACAACCTCATTACCTCAATGAGGAAGTGGACCATGTCTGCGTTGTTGCTCTCCACCGCATGCATGAGAGGACTCTGTCCACTTTTGATGTCCTAATTAGAAAACAAAAGCACCATGGGAAAAGTTAGAGGATGCAGAGACGGTAAATGTAAAATTTGTGATGTTGTGAAACTTAGTCAGTGATGAGTCAGTGCAGCACATGGACTGACCATAGCATTGATGTCGGCACCTGCATCCAGCAGCATTCTGGCCAAATCTTTGTGACCACGCAGCACAGCCAAATGGAGAGGGCTCCAACCTGAGAAAAGGCACAAAGCAGAGTTTTACAGTAAGCAAATACAAGCATACAGATAGACAAGTGCTCTTTCTCTGGCATCCCCCCTTCAGAAACTGAAATAAATTCAAGCGCCACACCCCACAATTTCTTTATCAGTCATTAAAAATTACAGGGAAACCAGATCTAACGAAAATTATTCAAGTTGAATTTTAGTGAATTAAAGGTCAGCACAATAGCACCAGCAAACTCCTGTTTGTTTATTTTCCTTATATAAATTCAACTTTGTTCCACTCCATATTTTTCCCCTGGTCATCCAGACAGTTTGGGAACCACTGGGAGAGACACATATGCATATACACACTCCTGCATGAACCTGTTTGTCCAAATAGTACCTCCACAAACAGTATATACTCTCAGATATACATGCAAAGCCGTAAATGGCACATTTTCTACATAAAGGCACTATTGAAGGACATTACAGAATAATTTATTTTAAAAAGTATTAAAAGAACTCTAAAACACATTAAAAGTATTAAAAATAATTTAAAGTAATTGCAGGATGCTAGTTTTTTGTTTTAAATTCTGCTCTATGTATTATATCCAAATTGATCAAACACGCTTAATTTGATAATGACTTTACATGTTTTCATTAAATTGATCACAGGGAAATCACTGAGGAGGAAATGGTTGCAAACAATCACAAGGCTCTGTCAGATTAAATAATTTAATGAGAAGGGTTTCTGAATCCTTCTAGATCTTTTTTTTATCAAGAACATCTTCAATACAATAGATACCAATGAGCTTCTTTAATAGACCACCCAACTTACCCTCATAGTTTCTTATCTCCAGGCATGTGGAGGATGAGGAGTGAGAGAGCACAACAGACAGACAGTCACGCTGGTTGTATTCGCAGCAGAGGTGGATTGCTGTTTGGCCATTACGGTCCAAGGCAGCGGGGTCAGCCCCCTCCTTCAGCAAAACCTCCACCATGTTTGTCTGCTGGGTTATCACTGCCAGATGAAGGGGAGTCTGAGGGGGAAGATCAGAGCAAAAATTATAGTTTAGACAAACCAGTGTATTCAGGTCTCTCAAAATAGTTTTCATTTTTCACACTGTAGCACACACTAGACAGCATTCATAGAGCGTGAACCCCCACTAATGCTGAACAATGCTCCCACTCTCTACTATGCTCAAAGACATAATTTCTATCTCTTAAAATTTGAGATAAATAGATTTCTTAACCTTGTATAGATGCCCTTATTCTGAATAGTGGAAATCCCAGATCCTGACTGGCACCAAGACTAATAATTTGGTCCCTCCCCCAAGGCTTTGTTGTAGAAATCTCCAAATTGCAAATCAATCAAAGGAATAGTTTGATATTTTTGGAGATAGGGTTATTGGCTTTCTGCTGAAGAGTTTAACGAGAAGATTGATACTACTAATGTCTGTATGGTGAATAGGAAGCAAGAGGCAGGAGACAATTAGTTTAGCTTAGTACAAAGACTGAAAACAAGGGGTGGAAACTGTTTGTCTGAAGATAACAAAATCCACCTACCAGCACCTCTAAAGCTCGGTAATCAACAAGTTATATCTCATTTGTTTATTCTTTACAAAAAAATACTTCTGGGCTTGATGCTGATAGGTGGATTGGGCAGAGCCAGGCTAGCTGTTTGCCACTGTTTCCAGTCTTAATGCTAAACTAAGCTTAGCAAACTAGCTGCTGACTGTAGACCAGAGGGGGGTACCATCTCCTACAACTCTCAGCAAGAAAGTGAAGGTAAGGAATGCAATCAAAATCTTAGAAAACTTAAATTCTTTTAATTGAGGATTGAGGAAGAGTGTTATTATTTCTAGTAAAGTCCTCCTTTCATCTCTAACCTGTTCTACAGGTTAAAAGTCAGAGACAGAATAAAACAATGCCCATAAGGACGGGCCAACGCCTAAAATAAATAAACAAGAAACTATTGTAAAATGATCGTTATTACACATCAAAAGATCATGAGATACTGACACAGGTATTACGTGCCTGGCCCCACGTATACACAAACACATGCATACACACAG